GCCTCGTCCCCCTCTCCACGCCCACTACAGCCATCACGACGCCGACTCGTCCGCGACGGCTCGCCTTGACGACAGCTACACCTCCGCCATGCCGGCTTCGACCAACAACGCCTCTGGCGTCGTGCCCGCCCCTGCCCGGACGGCCGCCGAGGACCAGCAGCAGCCCTCCTCCTCTAGGAAGCGTCGGCGCTCGCGGGAGCCCGACTGGAATACCTTCTATCGGAACGGCCTCCCCAAGGAAATCATCGTCATAGACGACACGCCCGAGCCTGAGGCCAACACGAGCCGCAGGATCGCGAATGGAAATGCCGTTGTGCCCGACTCGGCCGCCACGGCTGCTGCTCAGTCGTCGGCCAAGAAGCGAAGACGAGACGACCAGCCGCTGGGCTACCACGTCCAGTACGTGAACGGCTCGCACACGGCTTCGCACACAAACACGCCCCGGCCCAACACCACGCCGGGCGGCTCTACGCTCTCCAGCGACCGGACAAACTCGGCCCTCAACACCACGGCGCCCACGTCTCTGTCTTCCAACAGCCAGTATGACGAGCTCGCCGCGCCTCTCAAGCGCAAGCGGACCACCCGCCAGCAGGTCGCTAACGAGGCCAAACGGAGGGACGTCGACGGCCTGGGAGGCGCCTTTATGGCCTACAAGCCTCCTCCCTTTCCGCCCAAGAAGTCTGCTGAGGTTCCCGTGAGAGTTGTTAATGACGTAAGTCTAGCGATATTTTGTTGATCTTTTGTTCTTTGGATTGTTTTTCCCTCCCCTCCCTTTCCCACTACGATAAGTGTACAGGGCTTGACGCTAACTGCTTCATCCTTCGTCATAGCGACACTACAACAAGAATACCAAAGTCGATGATGACGACGGCCATTATATCGTCGTCCCAGACGCAGAGCTCACTGATAAATGTATGTATAAACCCGTTCTCCCCGTGGATTCTGCTGGGCCATTGGCGACTGACGGCGTTGTCTCCTAGACCAGATTGTTCGTCTCCTCGGACAGGGAACCTTTGGCAAAGTCGTCGAGGCTCGCGACGTCAAGAGGGGCAAGCCGGTGGCTGTCAAGATCATTCGGTCCGTCCAAAAGTATCGCGACGCCTCGAGGATCGAGCTTCGCGTCTTGAACACGCTCAAGGCCAACGATGAGGAGAACAGGAATCGATGCATCCATCTGCGGGACTGCTTCGATTACCGTGGCCACATCTGCATCGTGATGGACCTTTTGGGGCAGAGCGTTTTCGACTTCCTCAAGGGCAATGGCTTTGTCCCCTTTCCCAACAGCCAGATCCAGAACTTTGCCAGACAACTCTTTACCAGCGTAGCATGTGAGTACACGAGAAAGCACAGGACGCAACGGCGGCAAGACTGACTTTGGATTGTTTCTAGTCCTTCACGACCTCAACCTGATCCACACCGATCTCAAGCCGGAAAACATCCTGTTGTGTGACAACTCGTATCAAACGTTCACCTACAACAGGAAAATTCCCTCGTCCTCTACCACAATCAACAGACAGGCATCTCAGCGGCGGGTGCTTCTCGACACCGAGATCCGGCTGATCGACTTTGGTTCGGCTACCTTTCAAGATGAATATCATTCCTCTGTTGTCAGCACTCGCCATTATCGAGCACCGGAGATTATTCTCGGCCTAGGCTGGTCATTTCCTTGCGATATATGGAGCATCGGCTGCATCTTGGTTGAGTTCTTCACTGGCGATGCCTTGTTCCAGACCCATGACAATCTGGAACACCTCGCCATGATGGAGGCTGTTGTTGGCTCTCGGATCGATAGCCATCTCGTTTCAGCCGTGAACAAGATGTCGACCCGGAGTGGAGGGAACCCTGCTTCCAAGTAAGCGCTACCGCTTTTGTCGAACATTTGAGATGCTTCCAGGAGCCTGCTTTGCTGACCAGGTATCTGCAGATATTTCAAGCGTCTCAAGCTTGATTACCCGACCCCCGAGACGACGAGGGGCTCACGACGATTTGTCAAGGCCATGAAGCACTTGAGCGTATGTTTGAGGATCCTCGTCCTGGGAACTCGTGGCAACCAAACTGACATGGACGAAATAGGATATCATTCCTTCCAACACGACATTTTTCAAGAATTTCCTCGATTTGCTGAGGAAGATCTTTGTCTATGACCCTGCCCACCGCATCACGGCCAAGCAGGCCCTGAACCACCCGTGGTTCAAGGAAATGGCCCAGCCCGACGACGGAACCGAGGCCGCCAAGATTCGCTTCGAGCGGCGACGACTCGAGATCGACAAGGCGAGACAGCACGCCCACTACGTTGGGTGAGCCCATCGCCGAGAAGACGTTTCGACACATTTCGTTTTATAATGACTACATAAGCATGATGAGGATCCATGGTAGCGCGCGCACACTGGCTGTGTGTAGTGGTGGAAAGCCTACCTTTCTCCACAGGGAGATGGCTGCGTGATCTCTCCCCTCTCCCCCACCAGTGGCATTGTCATTGTACTCTAGCGCTTTGAACTGTTGCTGTTCCAACGTTCATTTTTTTTCTCCTTTCTCTCTTTCCTTTTGTGTGGTTTTCTTTTTCTTCATTTTCCTATTTAGCGTACCTAGGGATCGATCTCAAATGGTTCAGCGCGTCTGGGAGGGCCGGCGTCAAACACAAGTCTACGGATCAAGGAGTGATTAAGCACACAGGGGGGCGTGGACTACTATAACAAACGATAGGGGGGGATTTGGGGGTTTCGCTTTTGGTGAATGAGAGTTGTGCTAAAAAGATAGTTTCTTCCTTTTCTTTTTTCCCTCTCTCAGAGTCTAATATACCCTCTACAAATGTCATCAAGCTTGTCCCCATGGATTGTGGAAGTTGCTTCAAGATGACGAGAATGGTTGAGATCTATAACGGGTGTGCGGAAGACCCTTGACGATATGCGGACGGAATTGCGTTTTGGCTGACGAGTGGAAGGACTGGTGAAGCTTTGATGGGACCTGTTAAAATTCTTGCTTTTCGTTTTGTTTGTGACACTCTTGAAGTTTATAGGCATCGGATTCTTCCTTACATCGACATGGAGAGTAGGAAACTGCTATTTGCGTTTTCAAAGGGGACCAACATCGGAAAAGCTTACCGGGAGCAGGCCCAAACACATCCTTTCACACAAAACAACAAGACAAACAGATATGAATGACTAGACAATTCCCACTTCCATCTCCCCAAAGCCACGCCGAGAATGATGCCACGGAAATCAGCAAAAAACAGCTCTGTCCAAGCACGTACTGAACTGCTCAAGAGAAAGACGGAGGAGATCCAGCTGGTTCGAGCAGTAGAAATCGACAATGACAACAGCTCCCCCCCCGCCGGGACACCACGTGTTGAGCGGATGTGCCCCCTTTTCATGTACCATGGGGATGGTTGGAGCATTATTGAGTTGTGTATTCTTGCGATGGGCGGGACGGAAATAGGTGGTGATGTTGAAAGGGCGGCTTCGGGGATGTCTGGGCTTGTGAGGGATGATGAGGCTTTGGTGGGTGTTGTTGTTGTTGTCGAGAAGAAGATGATGAATATGAGGGGGGTGGAGAAAGGAAAGGATGCGGATCGTAGGATGGCGCTGGCTTTGAAAGAGGAGGGGAGGGGAGAAGAGATGGTGGAGGAGGCGGCGTCGTGTTATGAGACGATGGAATGGGGGTGCACCGTAGAAGCGAGGATCACCATGATGAGGATGACCATCTCGAGGATGAACGTGATTGCGCTATAATGAGTTCTGCTTTCACGCTTGTTGAGTATAACCTCTATGCTATGCCTCTATCTATAATCCCATACCTGTACGGAAGAAGAAAGGGGGAAGGGGGTTGACGGTAAAGAAGAGAGAGAGAGTAGTTCATGTCGTCAAGCCGGAAGTGACATGTCTAGTACAATACAGAACGGGCAAACAACCGCCCTCATAACCTTGAAGTTCGCCCCCATCTGTCCAAAACTCAGCGATACATGAAGGAAGGATCTCAATCCGCCAACTTCTCCATAAACCGCTGCACCGACGGCAGATAACACGCCGCCTTCTGGAAATCCCCCAGCCGCACCGCCATAAAGTCAAACGCAAGCAGCACGTCGTGCTCGACGCCCTCGACGCGCTCCCGCCGCAGCGAGTCCGACTTGGAGTAGCGCTGCGAGAAGTGCGTCAGCAGCGTCCGCCTCGCCCGCATCTCGCGCGCCACCCCGAGCGCCTCGCCCATGGTGCTGTGCTTCTTGGCCTTTGCGTGGTCCTGCTTGTCGTCGCCAAAGGTGCACTCGTGGATCAGCAGGTGCGCGCCGCGGCACTCGTGGGCGAACTGCTTCGACGGCCGGCAGTCGCCCGAGTAGGCAATCTTGAGGCCCGACGTCAGCTCCAGCTGCGTTCCGTACGAGCGCCAGCAGTGAGGGACGGGCACGCGCTTGATCGAGGCCAGGCCGAAGTTGTCCTCGCCCAGGTCCTCGCGCGTCGTCAGGTCGCGGTCCTTCTCCTTAGGATAGGGGCAGCTGGGGAAGCGCAGCCTGTGGTAGCCAATGTCCTCGATCTGGGACAGCTCCTCCAGCATGACCCGGTAGCGTCCGATGCAGGATATGGCAAGCGTTGCGTTGCTGTTGTCCTGGAGCGTCTGCTCGTACCAGGCCTTGATCAGCGAGACTGTTCCCATGTGATGGTCGGCGTGGACGTGGCTGATGACGATGCAGCGCATGTTGCGCAAGACGTCTGCGGCCTCCTCGGCACCAAAGAGACGCCGGATCTGGCCCAGCGTACCCTCGCCGCAGTCGAGCAGATAGTTTCCGATGCCCGGAACTCGAATCAGGGTGGCGGAGACGTTTCGGTATTTGCTGGGGACCGACGATCCTGTGCCCAGAGGGATGATCTCGGCGTCACGATTGGGAATGTCGATCTCCTGCTTCTCAACACGCTCCACAAACTCGGGGTCTGTGGCTTCGGAGCGAGCTTGTTCGGCCATCTTGAGGACCTCGTCATCTACTGATTCGTACGCCTCGACCAGATCAGGGAACGGGGCAATGGCTTGGTCGTCAAACACGAGACGAGGCATGAACTGGAACTTGTGTCCAGCTCGGCCCAGCTCGATCGGAGAGCCTTCTGGAGGGGCTGGGTACTGGACCGTGTTCTCAAACTTGAGGAGGGGGAATCGCTCGGGATCGATCCGACGCAGCTTGGTCTGGATAGCAGCGGCGCCGGGATGCGTAATCATGTTGGGGCATGCATCGTCCGCGCAGAAAATGTGCTTGATGTTGGCATGCTCTTGGATAAACTGCTGGATTTTCGCGTCCCCCGTCAGGTTTGGCCCCAGGATCCAGTACATGACGGCGACATTGTCCAGCAGCTCTGCGCTCTTCCACTCGGGCCGCGCCATGAAGGGCTCGACGAGATCCGGGCTGCCAATGTCCGCTACAATCAACCCTCTGCCGGGCTGCGGCTCTCCGAGCACCATTTCAGGCGTCACCAGGCCATCTTTCCCCTGAACGCTCTGCCCTGCGGTCAACAGTTTGAAATCTCGAGGCTCTACTCCCAGCGACTTGGCCATGGGTGCGTTGAACTTTCCTCTGCGGCCGTGAGACTTGATGATGTAGCTCATGGACGTCTCGCCGTATGTCGTCCTGGGGAGGGGGTAGTGGTTGATTTGCAGGACGTTGTCTCCCCTTTCGTCTACGCTGCCAGTCTCTCCAACCTCTGGAAAATGCCACACCGTGTCATCTGGGTTGGGAACCTCGGCGCCATCCGTCATGTACGGGCCCTTGTACAACTTCATCGTGCCGCCTTTGACAACGGCAGCAATGTCCGTGGGCTTCAGGTCGCGTATCTTCTTCGGTACCAGCACGGATCTGTTCTTAAGGCTGCCGTTGAACATGATGCGCTCGACAATTGCGCTCGCAACGCCGGGATCAGACAGCGACGCTCGTGGCCGGAAGCTGGCTTCCTCTGAAGACGCATCCTCGGACATGGCGTCGGCCCCGTCCTGAGCCGGATCGCTGTGTCGTCGTTTCCGGGGACTGCTGGACCGTGCTCGTCGTACGGGTATCTTCCAGACCTTGATGGCATCGTCGGACCAGTCTGGCTCGAGGTTTGCCGCATCTGTCGCCCGCGGGTCTGTCCTGTGCTCAAAGGTCTTGACGCATATAGGCTGTCGGAAGATGACTGGCCGCAACGCCGCCAGCGTGTGGCACAGATTGTCCGCCCCGTGCACGGCAATTCCGGCATGCCGAGTGTTGTTCAGCAGCTTGTGGCCTTTCTGCTCCCTCTTGGTGTTCTCCTGCGCCTTGTACTCCTTGGCTGACTCGACGGCGCCGCCGACGCTCAGCAGGTAGCCGCACAGGCCGCCCAGCTGCTCCCAGTGGACGCTGCCGCTGAGGAAGACGTGTTCGGTGCCTCCCAGGTGTACCTTTCGGCTGCCGAACGCTCGCTGCGTTCCCTCCGAGACGCGGCCAAAGACGTAGGAGCGCTTGTCGTGGTGCATGTAGATGCAGGTGCCAGGTGTGTCGGCCGAGGGCACGCAGGCCAGCTCGACAGTGGTCGTCATGATGGTCGCGTCGGCGTGGCCCTTTTTGAAGATTTTGGCGTAGAGTCGTCTGGAGCAATGAGATGTTGGCGATGGTGTGTATCGCGAGCTGTCGAGACGGGGACGGCTGAGTGGAGATGCAGAGTGTCTGGCGATGGCAAGGCTCGACAGCGGCCGTGGTCGTCTAGTACCGGCCTGAGAGGAGAGAGTTCGGAGCGGAAAGGATACAGAGCAGACGAGGCGCCGGGATGCGCATTGTTCCATCAGCGGGAGAGGAAAGACGAGGACGAGCAGAGGACAGGCGCTTCCTCCAGGTGAAGCACAGCCCGCGATGAACTTTTTTGTTTGCGCCGAAATCGATAAGCTGGGATGGCGATTTGGGGAAATGGTGGGGCAATGACTCTACGCCGGCCGCTTACATAATCGAACTTGATCTCGGGCCTTCAACCATCATTGTGTGATGGATTCCAGACTCTCATGTCTTGCTACCTTGGTACTATGTTGAAGTAAGGTACCGTACCTTGGATAAATTCACGGAACCAGCATGAGGATTCATGTTGTCGTCATGTGATACTTCTGCTTGGAGTGCCGGAACAGATTCCGCTCCTCTCGGTATCCCACTTATAGGCATTACTTAGGTAGATACCTTACACTAGATACCTGTCCACCTTTGAGTTGCCCAGCTGTCGTGCAAGCTTAAACAAAGGAATACTTCAGTTCCAACCCCTCAAGGCATCGATACAAGGCAGACCTCGTATGTAAATGATATCCGGATTCTTTCCAAAGCGCTCTTCCCCAATAGGCAGATTTGCCAAGGCGAATCGCACATTGTTGAATTCTCATGAAACCGAAGCCCCGTCGTATAACTTCATGTTCACACAAGAATCAGCAAAAAACACCCCGAATCCTGGTCAGAGCAGCACGACACGCAATCGACGCTTCTGTAATCCCATAGTCATAGATTACTCATGCAGCCCCCAGATCATGCATGTCCAATCGGCATCTACACCTTATCTGCATACGTATCCCTGAAGTGGTACGCGATCGTTTCCCCCCCTGCTTAGGAATCAAACAATGGGGTCGCATCGCCGTAAAGTCCATATCCCATGGATATAGAAATGGAGACATTCCGGCATGATAGGTCGAGACGGAGTTAAAAAGGTCGTCCAAACCCCCACGGCTCCACCAAACCACTAATATATCTGGCCGAAATCATTTACTAAGTCCATCGTTCGTGATGAGGTCGACTATAAAAAGGGTGGTGCCGGTCTCATTGCTGTTGCAATCACCAAATCGTAGGTGCTACTCACGTATATCTTCCATCCAAGACATCGTCAACAAAATGGCCCCCTCAGCAACCTCCACCGACAGCCAAATCCGCATCGTCCCCGTTCCCAACCCGGACTGGACCTTTGGCCAAGGCAGCAACCACCTCGACAAATCCTCATCCTCCTCCTCCTCCCCCGACCCCAACGACAAATCCCAGCACCACACCCTCATCAACCCGCAATCCCCCTCCCGCCCCTCCTGGCTCAACTACCAGCTCCTCATCTCCGCCGTCACCCCCCGCCCCATCGCCTTCCTCAGCACCCTCTCCCCGGACGGCACGAAAGCCAACCTCGCCCCCTTCAGCTACTTCAACGTCTTCAACCACGACCCGCCCACCTTTGTCGTCGGCTTCGCCCACCCGCCCAGCGGGCCCAGGGACTCCTTTGTCAACGTCCGCGACTCGGGCGAGTGCGTCATCAACATCATCTCGGAGCACTACATTGAGGCGGCGAACTCGACGAGCATAGACGCCCCCTACGGAACCTCCGAGTGGGGCGTCTCCGGCTTGACGGCCGAGTATTCGTGCGAGACCGTCAAGGCGCCGAGGGTCAAGGAGGCGATTTTCAGCGTCGAGGCCAAGTTGGAGTCCATCAAGGAGATTGAGAGCAGGGCCCAGCCGGGGAGGATCTCGACGTGGCTGGTCGTGCTTGAGGGGACGAGGTTTTGGGTGAGGGACGATGCGCTGAGTGAGAAGCAGGATTATGTGGCTCCTGAGGTAAGGTTTTATCAAAGCATTGAGAGAGACGAAACGGAGGGGGGAACTGACAGTGACGTAGGTTTTGAGACCGATAGGCCGCATGGGAGGTACCATTTACTCCAAGACGACGGAGCTCATGCAGCTGCCCAGGCCGCAGTTTGAGACTGACCTTGGCGGTATCGAGGGCTATGAGAAGCTCCTTAATGAAAAGAATAGGACAACTGCGCAAAATCCATGAGGCAGGTATACACGAACAGCAAGCCAGCAGGCGATGAAATTCAAAGAGAAAAAGCGTGGTATTCAAACACAGTGGTATACAAAACATGTTCATCATATCAATCATACTGTTGGCCCAAATGTCTTTTGCCAGGGCCTGAAGCAAAGACTCCCCCGCCGCCGCCATCCCGTGACCAAGGACTCCCTATATCCATAACCAGATGGAAGAAAACGTAAGATGCTAGTAATGCAAACGAGAAAGAAAAGGTCGAAAAGAAGAAAGAGAGAGAGAAAGAAGCACGTGCGAGAAGTTCAAAAGTAGAAGCTCTGCCCGGGTTTGGATATGATAAACTCACACCCCAGCTGCGCTTCCCGCTCATGGTCCAACAGTTGCTGCAGTATTGAGTCGCCGGCCTGCGGGCCATCCGCGAGCGTCTCCTTGACGTGGATGATGACAACCTTGAGGCCTTCGAGGGGCTTCTTGACGCCAGCATCAGCGGCGGCAGTGACAGCCGGAGTGGGCGGCGGTAGTCCCGGGCCAGGAGCCGCAAACTCATCTAGTGATAGCTCGCCGGTAGGGGTGGCAATGTGTGGCGTCTCGGAATCGGGCGCGCCGTAGAGGAAGTAGTCGCCGGCCGTGTTGAGCGGGTTGGCCGATTTGGGCGACACCGGATCGTCGGATCCCGGGCTCTGCATGGTCACAATCGGGACCTTCTTCCGCTGCATCTCCTGCTCCTCCTCAGCCTCCCGCTTGCGCTTCTTAGTCTCAAGCGAACGTGCCGTTCGTGCGACCTCTACTTCGTTGGCCAGGACCTGCATTTCCTCGATGAGATAGGCGGGCTTCAGGTGGCCGAACAGCCGCTCGTCGGGCTGTGCGTCAGTATAGCTGCATTCGACAAAGATGGCCGCCAGCTTCCCAGAAGCGATCTTGGGCGCCGCCTCTTGCCAGATCATCAGGTTCCGCGGGCTGAGAGAAAGACTGTCCGGCTCCACGTCTCCAAAAATGAGCACCTCGCGCTCGTACGTCTCCTCCCGAATAAAGTACGCGCTCGAGTCGTTGACACATGGCCGTGGCTCAAAGTCGCTGGGTCCGAGAACAGGCGAGGCCATGCCAAGCGCAGCCTGGGGCATCATGCTCTGCCGCCGTGAGAAGGATGTGGGGTAGAGGTGGCTGAAGGGTTCACGACGGGCAAATTGGGTTGCAAAGTCATGACCGTGAGGATAGTAGGTATCGCGCCGCAGCGGTATGCTTGATCCATCTTGACTACCGTGACGGGTTGGTGCCGGGTTGCAGAAGGATCCACGATGTGTGTGCTTCTCCATGCAATGGCCGTGGCTCACGCTCCACGTCTTGACCAGTAGCCCGTCACAAACTTCCAGATACCCCTCGCCCAGTGCAGGACTTCCACCTTCTACCAGTCTGAGATATGTCAGGAGACCGGCACCATTGTTTTCGTCGCTGAGATTTGGCCATATGACATTGTTGAAGATGTGGTCCTTGAGGGCTTTGATGGTACCGGGAAGGCCGGCAAGTTTCTTGGGACGAGTGCCGGGCAAGCCTGCTGTGTTGATGACAAAGGCAGAGATGTGGTCCAGATGCGGATGGGTGATGAGATAGGTATCGACGAGAGTGCGCGTGACATAGGCAGCGTTCGCCGAGGCCGTGGTGAAGGGCAGCTCGAGGCCAGCAAAGGGCCCGCTGGTCAGGATCTGACGAGCAGGAACCGACGATGGCGTCGGCGTCGGCGGTGGTGACTCTGGCAAGGCCTCCTCAATGAGGCGAGTGATGGCAGACAGGTGGACGCCCCCATCGACAGCCACTATTGAGCCCTTGCGCCAGTTCAGGGGCACTGAACGAACGAGAAACGCTGTCGTATTTGACTCTTGGGGGCCACCTCCCGAGCCCTGTCCTCGTGGTCAGCACTTATACTTGTGTCAAGCTTGATGCATCTGCGTGGCCAGATTCATGATGGCTCCCAGTAAGTGAGCGCGGAACAAAGGCGCAAGGCCGTGGCATGTGCAAGTATGTAAGCTGAGCCGTCAGAAGGGCGAGGCTGCCCCACGATAAGCCGTGCCAATGGAACAGATGGCACAACCCGGCTAGACGCTTCATGCAGAGCGAGGAGGGGAGGGCCGAGATGGGGGTTTGGGGGGTGTTTGTCCCTTGGCCTGGGGTCATTGGCCCCCTGGCGGCAGACGCATCCCGATCGGAAATGCCACGGCCAAATTACCCGATCTGAGCGCTCCCAATTTCGAGTCCAACGGAGCATCGCCTCTCTGAGGAGGTGGTGGGAAATGAAGTACCATGGGAAGCCATGGGGGGTTTCGGCACACAGACAGAGAGCCGAGACAAAGAAAAGAAGCACAAATAGACATGGAAAGGTTTGAAGAAGGAAAGAAAGAAGACGGAAGTGAACATACCAGTATAATGACCTGCAACGCAGGTGACGACACCGTCTCCGTCATCGTTCTTGGATGATTGCTGTTTGGATTCTGTCTCTCAATTGCCGAGTCGCGAACCACCAACTTATTATGCCGTGACGAAGCCGCCGAGTCAGTTCGCAGATTACGCGCAACGCTCAATGCAGACGCAGATCTCCAATTCCGTGCTCCAAGGATGTTCCCAACACGAGAGAAAAGCAGAAGCAGAATGTCGCGAGCTGGTGTTTAAAGGGACAGAAAGAGTCCAAGGGAGTCTCGATCTCGGCTTCTCGTCCAAGTCGACCAGTGGCGCTGACGGAGGGTGAAGGCTCCCACGTGACCGTCTTGTTCCCCCACGAGGCGCTGCTTGGCTTTGGATCTGGCCCTGACTAGCCGGCGCGCTGAGGATTTGAAATGCTGGTGAGGCGAAGGTGAGCGTTGAGGCGTGTGAAGTCAGTGGTTGTAATGGAGGGAGGGAGGCGAATGGAGTTGATGATGTCGATGTTGGTCAACACTTTTTTCCCTCGGCGCGTGGGGGACAAGCACCGCGGCTGTGTCTCTTTGTCTGGCCGAGGGGAGGGAAGGGTCTAAAATATTATGGGAAACGATGGGAAATTATCTCAAGCTCCTAAATAGTCGATGCTCCCCGGCGCCAAGGATCTTTTTCTATGGCGTTGCTTGGTTCGCGGGTACAAAGTACGTGCCGTGATCCCAATGTGTAAGGCAGGCAAGGTAAGGTAAGGTAGGTATGTAGGTGATCTGTAAAAGCGCCGAGGGAAATGCAGTGGCAGCTGTGATGACGCTGTGCATGCAGCGCCTTCAGTTGGTGCTTCGTACAGCAAGCAGGTCAAGCTCAGGCAAGGTAGTGGCTTGCGATATGTGCATATGCACGCAGGTGCGTGTGTGGCAGGCAGGCTAAGGCAGCCGGGAATCCTGCTTTCTCGTCCCCTCCCGAGCCCAGACGACACGGATCTGGAGCAGCACGGCAGACGAGCAGCCAGACGGAGATGTGGTATCTGGGGTTTGGCGTCTAGTCTGTCGCTCGCTCCGTCTGATTCTGCGCGGCACGGCGCCGGGCAGCTCCCAGAGCTGCAGGATCGTGCTCCCGCCGGCGTGTGGCCTGGATCGTGGGAGGAGCACAGCGTCGCCGTCGTCGTCGTCGCGCGTCGGCGCTGAGATGCCCGCTGCTGGTGCTGCTGGCGCTGAACTGTTTGCTCAGTCGTCCGTCGACGGCCGACACGCAGGATCACGACTCGCCTTTTGAACCCACCCCGGGCCCCCGGTTTGCCTGCGCTCGCTCGCGGCATCGCAGCGCAACACAGCACAGGCCCGTCCGCGCAGGCCGCCGTTGGATTAGCGTCGCCATTGTCACCTCGTAGCGCGTCTAGTTTCGGCGTCGCCGCGATGCTTGTTGCAAGGGGCTTGGGCTTGGAGGGGGAGGGGGCGTGCAGAGACGAGCGAACTGTGTGTGAGTGTGACGGCTGGGCTGGGCTGGGCTGGCTGGAGGAGAGATGGAGGCACGCACGGGCAGGTTGTACCAAGTACCCTGCGGCTGACCCAGAGTGAGGGCGCGAACCGCTGACAACGTGATGCGCGCCGCATGTACCGAGTACTGCAGCGCACAGTATCACATCCCAACAGACGCTGCTTGTGATACCAGAGACAGATGGCCAGACATTCTCATCACCCGGACACGCAATCGAGGCACTGCTACCTTATTGATTAATCACGCACTTCAACCGTATCCTTGACAGCTGAACGATGGTCAACATCTGGATTCCGTTATAGCAGCAACTGGACTGAATCCCCGGCAGACAAACTGGGCTCAACACCATCCCGGTGAGCTGGATCCTAACCTCGGGGCCATCGGGTTGTGCGCTACTGCGGCCTCTGCCTGCTAGATGCAGCGCTCGAATTACCAGTACGCCCCATCAAGTAACACTTGCACAAGTGCTACAGGCAGACGGCTGTTATTCTCCTTCATTCTTCTTCAACCGCAGCCGTCCGACACTCCACGGCTCCAACCTGTCTGAGGGTAACATCAGATTCACCTTCCAAGTTGCCGCTCCTATCAGATTGGCACCAAGAGGCCTCACCGAGGCACCGATGGCTTGATCAGGATAGGTAAGCAAACCAATCACTCTCATAACCAGCATCTGGGATCTTCATCGATCAAGCACTCTAGTTCCAGCGCGGCGTCTGTTAGCCGGTGACAAATCCGGGACTCGAGCACTTGCATCACGGCACGCGCCCCCCCTCAGCAGCCAAGAACTGACTACTGTACGAACTCTATAAACCGGCGCATGATGGCGATATCCGGACCAGGGCGAACTGGCACCAACAGCCGCTGAGTCTGACATCCATGTACCTAAGAGTAATGTGAGTAGTATCTACTGTACCTCGCCATAGATGGATGGGCTGTAACAAACGGCCTCTTGTCTCTGTCGGCCGCAAAGAAGCGCCTTGGACGGACATGTCAACCACTCTCTGGGAAGTCATTCGGGATGATTGATAGGAACCTTCCCCTACCAATCGACTAAGCTGTCAAGCAAGGTTGCTTCCGCAGTAGCGCCAATGTGAGATCCATGAGAACTGACGTCTTGCGGGATCACTTGTTTGATCAGCACGGATGGATCTGGCCTCCTCCTTTGGATCTCTAACATGCCGCGCCGGCCAGTAATATAGCTGAAGCTACGCCCAACGTGCATTAACCCACCCGCACCCCGGCTCGTGTGGGGAGGCTGAGCTGCAACATGTCTTACTCCCAGACCTTGCCATGTTTCGTTTGACGCATGTCTTCTTGGGAACTGCTAGAAGCAGCTTTCTGGATGTCGCGATTCGTCCGGCGAGTCCTAAGAGGGGGGGCTTTGTTGGGATCCAGAGACTGCAACCAAGCATCATTCTCCATCGTTGTACAGCACGGAACACCGAGCAGTCTGATGGGGTTCCATTGCAAGCAGGTATATGTGTGATAACAAGTATTAGTATTGTCTCTTGACAGGCCCCCTTGCCTCTTGGCTTCAGCCTGGCCAGACTTACAGTACATTTCTCCCAGCACAAGTACGAAGATCGATGTAGTACTACATGCACTGACGGCACGCAATAGATCCGAGCCCGAGGATTGCATCGAGCTTCATGGGTCTGGCAAGTCTCTCCTCATTTCAGTAATAGCGGACAAAAGAAGGTTGATTGCCGTCTGTCTATCAGTCTCTATTCCAAAAGAGCTGCCATAAGAGCTGAAGTTACAATATGTATGCTACAAACACAGGCGCTGCCATTTGCTCGCCTCATTCATCCCAAGCTGCACGTGCTAATCCCACGTGCTACCAACTCCTAAAACAGACCATGACCGACCCGAACCTGAACTCCCATCACCGACAACTCCACACAAACCAAAATCATCAACCCCACGATACTCCCAAACATTGGCAAGATGATAGCAGTTGCTGCTTCTACTGCTCCTGGCAGATATAAGCAGCAGGCAGAAAGAAATGCAATAAGACGGCAAGGGCCCTTGTCGAAGCCGCCTCTCGCTCCCCCGTGGCCAGCACCAGGCCCCTCAGCCCGCGGATTGCGGGCAGCATCAACACCGAGGAATGCAAGCCAATCGGGCCGTGATGCTCTGAATCGTCCCGTACATTGGCTAGGAAGCACACGCAAGGCGGAGGACGCTTCACGTACTCGTACTTCGTATATCATCCAGGCAGGCGGCTAACGGGCTGTGACGAGGACCAACTCTGCTAACCATGCTGTCCACCTGCAGACGTGTGGATGGACGAGCGAATCGGAAATGCCTTTCGTTCCCACCCTCCCCCAGCATCCGACATCAGACGAGCAAACAGCAGCAGAGATGGCGAGGTTTCGTCTGCCAGGTGGTTGTGTGTGACAGGTCGTTCCGCAGACTCTGTTGTCAGCCCAGACTGTGCCGGTTACACTTGCGATCCCCTTGCAAGCCGAAATCGAGATTCATCGCATCGTGCCCAAGGACCAGAACCGCTAATCGCCCACCGGCTTCTTGCCGGAGAAGTCGTTGAACACCCTCGATTTAGCGAGAGGGGATTTCGTTAGTCTGCCAGCTGGTGACAGGCTAAGCCCGCCTGCCTGCAAGTCAACGCCAGACCAAACAGCTCTCCACCTCGGGAGTGCCGATGCAGCTATCATGGGCCTTATCGGCGCTGCAAGGGCCCTCCCTGTCGACGCCGCCCGGGGAACCGCATGTCCTGATCTAAAGAGCGCGGGCCTCCAGCAAATACCATCAAGAGGTATCTGTGCGTCGCCTTTTGCTGTTTTGCCGGCTTCGTGTGTCGTACTTGTGGCCGAGATTCTTACCTTGTGAGCCGCTCGCCTCGGAACTGCTTATGCTGACGACGCCAGTGAGAGTTGTGGCTCTCTCGTCAACCCCGTCGAACAGAGAGGGGAAAGAAGAGTCGTCAAAGCCACCAAACCCGGCTGTATCCACGAGACTGTCGAGGCCATCCCAATATTGTGATGAGGCTGCAGTCTGCGGGCTCACAACGCCGTCCACGCTTCCTTGAGGCTGAAGTTCAATGGATTCCAGCATTGGTTGGGCCGCAGACTCATCACTTGCTTCAACGACGGCTTCTTCGTGATGCTGGCCAACCACCGGCTCATCCCCAAACAAACTAGGGTCAATGAAGTCTGCAAGATTCAGTTCCTCTTGGCGCGGGCTGCTCCCTTGTTGTGAGTCAAAGAAGCCCGTACCACTGCTGCCTCCAACCGACTGCGACGACTCGAAGGGAGTCCAAGATGGTTCGTGCTTGAGGAAGACGTTCGGCTGAGTCGCGAGACTGGAGTTTGGCTGATTGTTCAGGCGTCTCGTCGGTTGTGGTGTTTGTACCTGACAAGGCACCGTCGTCCCAGAAGGGATACTATGTTGTAAGTTTTGTGTGGTGACGGGTCTGAGAAGTTGGCGAGGTTGGCCTCGGATTGCCTTGTTGAACCTTGCTCCTGTGACCGTCTGAGAGTAGGTATGATTGGGGATCCCGGTGAGGCTGTTCTGAAGGAGGCTGGTGGCGACTGGTCTCTGAAAGGACGACTGCATTGCATTGCGACCTGGGTTCAAGGGGTCGAAAAAGCTCGGAGGCCTGCTACTCATGTTGGGCTTGAGCATAGCATTCGAGTGAGGCGTGTTCACTTCCCTCCTCTGGATGCTACCGGAAGAGAGCCCCAATAGAGAGAGAAATTCCCCTTGACTCTGCTCCGGATACCAGTTTGTCGCGGCCATTGGGTCCCCGTTCCTCCATGCCTGCGAAGCAGGATTCGAGTCTTCATCATCCTCGACCCTGGCTCTTTGAAGCTTTCTGGCCTTCTTCGACTTCTTGACCTTGTTCGTGATCTCGACAAACAGCTGCAAATTCCCCAGGTGCACATCGATGGTCCTCCGCTCATCTGCAGACTTGGCAGTGTTCCGCTTCGATCGCGCCTTTTGCCGAGCCGCCGTTTGGTTGTCTACGTGGTATCTGGTTAGTTGATAGGACAGCGTGTCTCGATATTCTCGGGGCGGCTGGTTGGGGTGGCGCATTCTCTGCATGAACCATGGTTGATAAGCCTCCCGTATGATGCCGGCATCGGTCAACTTCTCCAGTGTCACCACGCTCTTGTCCTCCAAAGGGAACTCTCTGTCTTCGGCACGCAGGCGGCCTGCCAGATGGAACTTCAAAGGGTCAAAGGCCTGCTCGAAACACCAGAGATGCATTGAGCCGGCGCACTTGAGCGGATCGCGGAGCCCGTTGGACGTAAGATGAGGGAACTCGTCGAAGGCGACACGAAGCCATCCCGCGGCAATGGTCCTGTTGGCGACGGGGCAGTTCGCCCAGCGGCAGACCCTGTCTTCTGGATCTAGTCTGTGGTTGCACTGCGTGGGCGCCTGCTGGACCCAGAAGACGGTCTCCTTTGAGCAGTTGTCGACGTACTCTTGGAGCTGCTTCTTGTTGAAGCACCGGTCTCGCAGCCACTGTCCCTTTGGAGTGTAGCTGAACAAGTGGTTTCCGTTCCAGTTTCGGCTGCCCCAGGGAGAAACGTTGACGAGATTCGCGGTGTAGTGACGAGATGGGTCACAGCTGGGGTCTCCTCTTCGTTTGGCCGCTCTGTTGAGGCTGACTTTCGGGGCCTCGGGTGCGGTCTCGGAGTCGGCGGTGCTTTGGCGTTGATAGTTGTCAGACTGGAGATGTTTTTCTGAAGCAGGTTCAAAGAAACTGGTGCTGAAGATCTGGTTACCTGTCGTCAGAGGAAGAGCCCGGCTGGACTGCTGGAGGAACTGCTGGCCGTAAGGAAGAGAGTTGGTGCCATCGTCAAAGCCAAGAGGAGGATAGGCAGAAAAGGGATCATCCTGGTCGTTGTTCTGGTCTACATGCTGCTGGAGACTGTAAGCTGGGATTTGTTGGCCGAATGGGAGAAGCGGCAGGTCGTTGTTCGAGGGGAAGATTGCATTGCTCTGAAGACTGGTACTTGAAAGTTGATTGTTCGATGTATCTCTGTAACACCTTGTTAGCAAACAAACATAAGAGCGATGCAGATAGCTGTATCAGGACTTACGACACCAACCAGTCAAGCGCAAGATCAATGCCCATTCCGTTGTCCTGAGTCATTGCCATGTCCGGCTTGAAGGGATCTGCAGCAGTCAGAAACTCCAGCGTTCCCAGATTCATTTCTGACTGTTCCTCGGCGAACGTGTGCTCTGGGGATGCCGTACCTGCAAAGCCGTTGTTGCCAAAGTATCCTGTGTCTGCGTTGTCGTCTTGCCATGGGTCTGTGAAGTCACCACCATCGGTGAACTGGAAGTTGAACGGATTCGACATTTTTCTTCGTTTTTCCTTCTGTCAAGATCGTAAAAAAAAAAGCGGCGACTTGGTGAAGACGAATGGCTTGTAGTCAAAAGCAGCAATATGTGAATCTTCGTCAAGGATCGTTTCTGAATGTGTGATGCAATGTCGATATGCTTCGAAACCCGAATCCACGAGATGCAGCGACGCAGCTTCATATTTAACTTGATGATGCATAGCCTCTCCAGAAAATCCCATCTTGAACATAGAGTCCAAGCAAAGAAAACGAACGAATTCATTGTTCCGCTATAGCATATATCTTGTTCTAGAAACAGAACAAAACAAAAGATGAAGCAGACTAAGTGTGTAGCTGAAGATGTCGAACAAAGGAGCAAGGGGGTGCTGCGAAAGAGAAAAATATGGGGTTGAACGTGGGGACAAGGCCTGCCCCTGATGAAGAAGTTTGAGGTTGTATTATTTATGGATTTTGTTGAAGAGTTCAACTTGGGATGAAAGAAAGTTTTACAGGGAGATGTCTGAATGGAGATGCTGTCGTAGTATGGGAGTTTTTGTTTGAGGTCGGATATCGTGGAGATATATACTTAGTGAACGCTTGTGAGAATGGATACGGGGTAAGGCACGAGGCTGAAATGGTCATATTGATGGCCGGTAGTGTTTCAATTTCAAAAGGAGCGAAAGTATTCTTTATATTGATTCCTTTCCTTGTTCAATCCTTGCTCCAGTTTGTAGAGATGTCTGGTACGTCGTCGACGTCAGGTGCAGTGGTGGTTGGGCTACCCTATGGTACTATCACGATACATGGAGTTCTGTGCTTTGCGCTTCAGCTAAGCTCAAAGATACAGGAAGTCGACAAGGAAAGGTTTTACTACATGACCTCTTGATTTCTCAAGGATGCATCAATTGTGGTGTTTCGCGCACATGTGATGGCATGGCCATGATGAAAGCGGCGACTTGGACTGTCCTGCAAATCCGCCGCATCCCCGTTACATATGCGGAATTCGCGCAGCAATCCTCGACAGGATCCAATATCCATGGAAGACAAGGGAGTCCATGAATACGAGAGGGAATATGTCGACCTCGCAGGGGTTTCTCGTATTATGTGTTGTTGATCTGCTTTTCATGCTTCAACAACTGAGCTGTTGTGGAAGGTAACCATGCCCAGGGTCTCTACCTATAGTACGGAGGATACCCGGCCATAGGCTCTATTAGGTACTCGTACTTACATGTAGGGAAAATATCCGGGGTATCGGAAAATGGTAATTCTCCGCGGACAGCACGAAGTATTACATCTCGCAACCCCCAGAAACCGTGCAGAAACCAGTCTTTCTCGATCAACTCGACGACATTACATAAGACCTCGTGTTCGCATCCAGGTTCAACATTTGCCTAGCGAACCTTGAAAGCCTCTGCCCTGGCCGCTAGCAGCTGCTGGAGAGCGCTACTCCACAGCGGGTAACCGCTAAAAAGACCTCGGGGGCAGCCCCTCGTTGCGCTCTTCTGGGCCCGATAGCAGCGATATTGCGAGTGGCAGACCTCCAAGAAACTTCAACATCACGAGACTCGCGATACCGGAGAGTCTGGGCATGGCGAAGCGCCAGTCTCACGAACCAAGCACAGCGCAACGTACATAGACAGCAGCGCGCTGTTGGCCATCATGGCGGAATACAATGCTGAGCTCCGGGCGAGGCTCGCCGACCTGGACCGCGAGCTGGAGGTAGGCCATTGCCCATCTGCCAGGAGCCTCTCCTTGCTTCTGCGACGCCGCCATCAGAACCCCCAACCTTGGCTGACAACTTGGCATGCAGGAGGGCGACATTACCGAGAAGGGGTAAGCAGCGTCTACTCGACTTGCTGGCCAACAGCAAGCGCCGCAAGGGCTCGCAATCAGAAACAGCAGCGGCGGCGGAAGCATGCGCCTCTTGGGAGGACGCGGATCGTGAAGTGAACTGACAGAGACACCATGGCAGATATCAGAAGAAGCGGGCCTTGCTGTTGTCGCAGTATGCTCACCATCCAACCACACCCGCCCCGGCTCCTCCGCCGTCTCGCTCCGGCCTGACCATACACTCCCCCGAGACGTCGACGCATCCTTCGAGCGATGGCCGCCGGGCCTCCATTATGATGACGCCCACGTCCGCGAGCAGTGGCTACGCAGGCGGGTACGGCGCCGGAGGCGGCTATCACGACCAGAACAGCAACTACGGCGATTACTCGCAGCGCCCCGACTCGAGCTACACCGCTGGGCCGCCAGGGTCCTCATATGGCGCCTCGGCTGCCTCGCCGGCGGAGCTCTTGCGCCCCGGACGGCCGATCATCGACAATGCCGCGGTACCGCAGCGGGATTCTCTCTTCTTACCAGGTGGTGCCGGCAATGAACCTCACACGCGAACCGGAACGATGGTCTCTGGCGATTACGCCTTCAACCCCGACCAACACGGCGCATATGCCGAACCCTATCAGCAGCCGGACGACGGCAGGACCAGAACGCTGCTCGACAACCAGGCCTTCTTTTCTGATTTCGCGGGCCAGCAGCACTACGAGCAGAATCAGATGGGCGACTACGGCGGTCCGAGATACTCTAGCGATGCCTTTTCTCCGACAGCAGCCATGGCTCCTCCGATGCTCACTGCCAACGACATGCCTCCACCCGAGATACTCGAGTACCAGGCTCCGCTCGAGCCAAGAGAGGTTCCGTTTGCCATTCAGGATCCCCACGATAACAACACGGCCATGTCTTCGTTCGACAACATGGCTGCGGTACTGCGTCACCGTGCCCGCACCACTGCTAAAAGACCGGCATATTGGGTTCTGGACAGTAAGGGCAAGGAGGTGGCGTCCATCACATGGGACAAGCTGGCGTCAAGAGCCGAAAAGGTGGCACAAGTCATCCGAGACAAGAGTCCTCTATATCGTGGCGACCGAGTAGCCCTGATCTACCGCGACAGTGAAATCATCGACTTCGCCATTGCCTTGCTGGGCTGCTTCATTGCTGGAGTCGTGGCTGTGCCGATTAATGACTTGCAAGACTACCAGCGCCTCAACTATATCCTCACCTCGACCCAGGCGCATCTGGCTCTTACTACGGAAAACAACCTCAAGACCTTCCAGAGAGACATTACCGCGCAGAAGCTCACGTGGCCCAAGGGAGTTGAGTGGTGGAAGACGAACGAGTTTGGGGGTTACCATCCGAAGAAGAAGGAAGACGCACCTCCGTTGACTGTTCCCGACCTGGCCTACATTGAGTTTTCGCGAGCACCGACCGGCGACTTGAGAGGCGTCGTTCTCAGCCACAGGACCATCATGCATCAGATGGCCTGTCTCAGCGCCATTATCTCTACCGTTCCCACCAACGGCCCCGGCGATACTTTCAACTCGACGTTACGGGACAAGAACGGAAAGCTCATCGGCGGCGGAGCCAGTAGCGAGATATTGCTCTCCTATTTGGATCCTCGACAGGGAGTGGGCATGATCCTCGGCGTTTTACTGACCGTTTACGGCGGCCACACAACGGTCTGGTTCGACCACAAAGCCGTTGAGTCGCCTGGCTTATACGCGCATCTGATTACCAAGTACAGAGCGACCATCATGATTGCGGATTACCCCGGGTTGAAGCGAGCTGCCTACAACTACCAGCAAGACCCCATGACGACACGAAACTTCAAAAAGGGGATGGAGCCCAATTTCCAAGCGGTGAAGCTGTGTTTGATTGATACCCTTACCATTGACAGCGAGTTCCACGAAGTTTTGGCCGATAGATGGCTGCGGCCCCTGAGAAACCCGCGAGCGCGCGAAGTCGTAGCGCCCATGCTTTGCCTTCCGGAGCATGGCGGCATGATCATCAGCGTTCGAGACTGGCTCGGCGGCGAAGAGCGGTTGGGGGTTCCGTTGAAGCTGGACGAATCTGACAAGGAATCCGACGATGAAAAGGAAGAGGAAGAGAAGCCGGCCCCGTCAAACGGATTTGGTAGCTTGCTCGGCGGTGGAGCAACAACAACCAAGGAGCAGGATGAGAAGATTGAGTTGGGCGAGGTGATCCTTGATCGAGAGGCTCTCAAGACAAACGAGGTCGTCGTCTTGGCTCACGGCAACGAAGCTAGGAAGAAGACGTCGCTGGAACCTACCATGGTCCGGGTCGGCGCCTTCGGATACCCTATCCCAGATGCCACTCTTGCTGTTGTAGACCCTGAGACTGGCCTTTTGGCAGCTCCGCACTCGATTGGTGAGATCTGGGTGGACTCTCCGTCTCTCTCTGGAGGCTTCTGGGCACAGCCAAAGAACACCGAGCTCATCTTCCATGCGCGTCCGTACAAGTTCGAGCCAGGCGAGCCGACGCCGACTGCCGTGGAGCCGGAATTCCTGCGAACTGGTCTGCTTGGCACGGTTATTGAGGGCAAGATCTATGTGCTTGGCTTGTACGAGGATCGGATTCGGCAAAAGGTTGAATGGGTTGAGCACGGCCACGCGGGTATCGCCGAGTATCGCTATTTCTTTGTTCAGCACATTGTGGTGAGCATCGTCAAGAATGTCCCAAAGATCCACGACTGCTCCGCCTTTGACGTCTTTGTCAATGACGAGCACTTGCCTGTGGTGGTCCTCGAGTCCGCCGCAGCATCAACAGCGCCTCTCACTTCGGGCGGCCCGCCTGTCCAGCCTGATACGGTGTTGTTGGACTCGCTGGCGGAGAAATGTATGGAGGTGCTCATGCAGGAGCACCACCTCCGGGTTTACTGCGTTATGATCACAGCCCCGAACGCGCTGCCGCGGGTGATCAAGAATGGAAGGCGAGAGATCGGAAACATGCTGTGTAGGCGCGAGTTTGACCTTGGCAACCTTCCATGCGTACACGTCAAGTTTGGCGTTGAACATGCGGTTCTCAACCTCCCGATTGGCGTCGATCCCATAGGTGGCATCTGGTCACCAATCGCGTCGGACTCGAGGATCAATATCCTGGCTCCCGCCGATAAGCAGTATTCTGGAATCGACCGCAGAGAGGTTGTTATGGACGACCGGACGTCTACACCGCTCAACAATTTCAAGACCATCACCGATCTCATCCAGTGGCGTGTTGCTCGCCAGCCAGAAGAGCTCGCTTACTGTACCATTGATGGCAGGGGCAGAGAGGGCAAGGGAATTCCGTGGAAGAAGTTTGACTCCAAGGTGGCTGCTGTGGCCATGTATCTGAAGAACAAGGTCAAGGTGCGGCCGGGCGACCACTTGGTCCTCATGTACACGCACTCCGAGGAATTTGTCTTTGCGGTCCACGCGGGCATCAACCTTGGCGCGGTCATCATCCCAATGGCGCCGCTCGACCAGAACCGGCTCAACGAAGACGTCCCTGCTTTCCTGCACCTGATTGCCGACTACAAAGTCAAGGCAGTCTTGGTCAACCAGGATGTGGACCATCTGCTGAAGCTCAAGATCGTGTCGAGCCACATCAAGCAGTCGGCACAGATCCTAAAAATCTCCATGCCGAACACCTACAACACCTCAAAGCCTCCTAAGCAGAACAATGGCCTTCGCGAGCTTGGTCTGACCATAGATCCCGCTTGGATCCGGCCCGGCTACCCCGTCCTCATCTGGACCTACTGGACGCCGGACCAGCGGAGAATCGCCGTTCAGCTTGGGCACGATACCATCTTGGGCATGTGCAAAGTGCAGAAGGAGACTTGTCAGATGACGAGCTTCCAGCCCGTTCTCGGATGCGTACGAAGCACCACAGGGCTTGGGTTCGTGCACACGTGCTTGATGGGCATCTACGTTGGCACCGCCACCTACCTGCTGTCTCCTGTCGAGTTCGCTCAGAACCCCATCTCTCTCTTTGTTACACTATCGAGGTACAAGATCAAAGACACCTATGCAACGCCGCAGATGCTTGACCATGCCATGTCGTCCATGCAGGCCAAGGGCTTTACAATGCACGAGCTGAAGAATATGATGATTTCCGCAGAAGGCCGGCCGCGAGTCGATGTCTTCCAGAAGGTACGGATGCATTTTGCGGGCGCTGGGCTGGATAGGACGGCCATCAACACAGTCTACTCGCATGTGCTCAACCCGATGATTGCCTCGAGGTCTTACATGTGCATCGAGCCTATTGAGCTCTGGCTCGACACCAAGGCTCTTCGACGCGGCCTCGTCGTTCCTGTCGACCATGACTCAAACCCAACAGCTCTTCTCTTGCAAGACTCCGGCATGGTGCCCGTGTCCACCCAGATTGCCATTGTCAATCCCGAGAGCCGCGCGCATTGCTACGATGGAGAATACGGTGAGATTTGGGTTGACTCCGAGGCATGCGTCAAGGCCTTCTACGGCTCCAAGGACGCATTTGACGTGGAGCGCTTTGACGGCCGGACAGTTGACGGCGACCCCAACGTGCGATATGTGCGAACTGGCGACCTGGGCTTCTTGTACAACGTCAATCGGCCTATTGGGCCCAACGGCGCCCTGGTGGAGATGCAAGTCTTGTTTGTGCTCGGTAGCATTGGCGAGACCTTTGAGATCAATGGTTTGAGTCACTTCCCCATGGATATCGAGCTCTCGGTGGAACGCTGCCATCGCAACATTGTGCCAAACGGCTGGTAAGTACAGGCACCCACTCTTTGTGAAGCAACTATGACTAACCATCTCATGTGTAGTGCTGTGTTCCAGGCTGGTGGTCTGGTCGTGGTCCTGGTAGAGGTGAGCCGTAAGTCCTATCTCGCCTCCATGGTGCCCGTCATTGTCAACGCCATCTTGAGCGAGCATCAGATCGTTGCCGATATTGTGGCCTTTGTCAACAAGGGCGACTTCCCACGATCTCGCCTGGGAGAGAAGCAGCGAGGCAAGATCCTGGCCGGCTGGGTCACGCGCAAGATGCGCACCGTGGCTCAGTTTGCCATTCGAGATCTCGACGCCAGCATGCTCGAGCCGGGCGAGGGCCCAGACGTCAACAGGACTTCCACGGGTAGCCTCCGTAGCCTGGGCGCTGCCGTCCCCCCCAACCTGAGAAATGTCGGCCAGGCACCGCAGATTCTGGAACAGGAGGAGTTTACGCAGCAGATGGACCACATGGCCCATTCGGAGCCGGTCGGGCAAGCCATGGGCATTCCAGAGGAGCAGCAGGCGCCAGCGACGTATTATTCGGGCATGGACCGTGGCCAAGAGACGGCTTCCATGCACGGCTACAACAATCAGCAGCCGCCACCATCAAGCAGCCACGGAGGATACCAATACGAGCAATACGAGCCGGCTCAACAACAACAACAACAACAACAGCAGCAGCAGCATTATCAGCCACAGCAACAGCAGCACTTTGAACCAGCCCAGCACTTTGAGCCGGCACAGCAGTACCAGCCAGAGCAGCAGTACGAGCAGGACTCAAGGCCAGTGGAATCTCGAGGGCAGGACGCGCCGTCCATCGTCGAGCCAGGGACCTCATCATCCCCCGTGCCCGACACGCCGCCGCCCAGAAACAGGTTGAGTCAAGGGCCGCCCCAGATCAGGCTGCCGGGCGTTGACGGACGGGAAGGGCTCGACTTCTGGGGAGCCAATGACGAGACGGACTGGACGGCCGATGCCATGATGCACATGAATCTCACCGGTCCGCGGTAAAAAATGAGATGCATATATACATATCATTGCTTGCTCGGTGCTTTGCAAATGTTTTTGTTTTCCTTTTTCGTCAGGAAAAAAGAAGACGATGGCAATGAAGCGGAAAGAAAGGAGAGGAAGGTGACAAAGTAGACAGTTGGTTTTTTTTTTCCTTTGGAATCATCAAAGAAAGATGTATCCGCAAGAAGAGCATTGGGAAAGAAAAAAAAGAGGAGTTGTCTGGGCCTTGTATGTTTTGTTTTCTAGTCTTGTTATAATCAACTGGGTACATTCAAGTTTATTTACTGCTTTTTGGATGAACGTTTATATCTCCGTGCCTGGCCCTGCTGTGTGTGTGTGTCGGCCATTCATTTCTGTCCTGTCTTGTCCTGTTCTTTCTTCTTGGGCTTGGACCTCGCTTTGTTTGCTGTTATCTATGAACTCGTATTGAAGTTTTGAAGATGCCGTGTTTGTACATTTCGTGCTTGAGTGGATGGCTGCAATGTTGGAGTTGTAAGGTAGGGTAGGTAAAGGATAAGATTCGTTTTAAACTGGGAGGATGGCCAGTCATTCTTCTCTTTTTACCTCGCAGTGTGAACATTGCTGATCGGTATTGTGGGTTGCTCGTACGGACTTCTTTGAGAAACGAAAGAACTTTGAATATGTAACAGATATTATTCGTATGTCTTTACCTAATTATGTTTACTTTGTGTATCTGTACAAGAAAACGCCCTCTTCTTCCTCATCAGCCCTCACCCCATTCTTTCACACCCTATTCTATGCCGACGTTTATACAACCGAACGATGCAAGTATGCAAATCAAAGACTAAAAGTACACGCAAGTCTATCGTAGCCAAGACAACCCAAGCCTATCCAGACCCAAACACACCAAAAACCACACACACAACATGAACAAAGAATAAGAAGAAGAAGAAGAAGAAACAGGGTATG